TTAGGCCAATTACAACAGAAAGGAGATGTGTCCAGTCATATAGTTTCAACAAAGGCGGTACATTTTAAAAAAGAGAATGAAATCCTTCGGCAATGGTTGGTGAGTCACAGACAGGGCCAGTTCTTTCTTCTCGTGTTATACCTTTCCAGCGGTTGGTCTCCGGGCAGAGAACAGTTTGAAGTTCGACATAACAGAAATGAGTACGATACAGTGTTTGACATCAATATATATTTTTCAAAGGAGGGTAGATCTTTAAATAGTTTATAATATATGCCTTCCGAGCTGTTGTTATATCACCGTGCCATGTTTGTATAAATCGGTCTTTCAAAGTCGTCTCTATTGTGACAGTGAAAAGTTGTTTCAATACACGTTAACCAACTATTATCTATAGCAATATGATCATTTTTCAGTTTGATAAATGTGTACATACATTTTGATAACTTGATCGGGAAACTGGTTCTTTTCTTTACAGTAAGTCTAAGTTGATACCTTCAAAGCTCTCCAAATACCATATTTTGGGGTTGAGTTTCAAAGTCCAGAGGCATGTTTTGAAACCTTTAGCTGATGTTTTTCTATTACATCAAGATTTTCATATCCCAAACTTCTGAGCCTTATGTAAGAATAGACAATATCATCACATCGAAAGCTTTCATAAGACACTAACACTAACTAACGGTAGATTAACATTACGTGCCCTCTTTAGAAGTACATACATTGCTTTAGTCGCACACTAGATGTGACTAATCGTCTGTTCCTGTGAAAACTAATATGTATAAATATCTACAGCTTCTATTTTTTTCTAATCCGTCATAATATGAAATTTGAGATTTCTCCTAACCCCTCCACCAACAAATATAACTTTTTACTTTGATATAAATTTACAAATATTATAATACGTATTAAAATGCATTCAATGATTTCTTTTAAAAAAACGTCCCCACTTTCTGCCATGTTGATCCGTGTCATCTGCATTTAGCAAGATAAGAAATTGTAAAAACAGTGTCATACATTCATCATCTTTACATTTCATAAGTATTCCTTTAGAACCTTTGTAATCAAGAATTTTTTTTAAGTCATTGAGGTAATGGTGAACAACAGTGGCGATACATGTTCTCCTTTGCGTACTCTGGTCCTGATTTACGAAAGAAGAAAGTACACAGCGAATCGTTTGCAGCCACGCATGACCTGCTATTATTATACAATATTGCTACGCAATGGGATTGCATACCCTCACTGAATTCCGATTTGTTCGGAATTCCGAATTCCGAATGAACATCCGTATATCAGAGGGAGATATTCAGAATTTCTAAATCCCCGAATAAATGGAGACACGATGGGGAACTAATGATTTATCAGACCCTTATCTCTACACGTAGTGTTGCCAAGACGTGGCTTATTACCAATTCTGCAATAATATATAAATAGATTTAGTATTTTCAGTAAGCTTGGACCGTGTGGATTTGGGGCGGTCGGGTAGCCTTGTGGGCAAAGCGTTCGCTCGTCACGCCGAAGACCCGCGTTCGATTCCCGACATGGGTACAATGTGTGAAGCCCATTTCTGGTGTCCCCCGCCGTGATATTGCTGGAATATTGCTAAAAGCGGCCTAAAATGAAACTAATTCACTAACTCACCGTGTGGATTTACCCTACCTTCGTTCTGATTGTATCTTTCTTTGGGGATTTCAAGAGAATCTGGAACAAATTCTGGATTTAATTAATTTTTTATTTCCACATTATCTGATCAAAATTCTTCTATTATGTATTTATCAATTGAGCAATAAACAGGAATCGCTCTTGGATTAAAATCTCCTGCTACCATAACATGGTCGACGTCACTTTGTGAGAGAATGGACTCTTCTATTATTGCAAACATAGCATTTGTATAATGGTGTGATTCTTCTGGTGGTACGTGTACAATACCAAGTAATAGGTCCTGGTCAACGTTAACATATCCTTAGAGATATAAATCCAGAATATATATTCTGGTTCATGCTAAGTTCAGAGACTGATATATAATGCTCATATTTATCCTCGATGATTATAGCCATATCCATAGCTTGATACATTCAGGGCATTATACACAGTCAGCTTGATTAATCGTATTCCAGCAGAGAATTCGGGTGTACTATTAACATCGGGGATTTTATAAGTATGACTCTTAGGATTTGTACTATCTGAATTGTTCTTACCGTTTACTACACTATAATTATCTGTACCGTTTTCAGATGACATGCCATTATATGCTGTCGGACTAACGGGATCGGGTGGTCATGCTCGCTGACTTGGTTGATGCATGTCATCGTATCCCAATTGCTTAGATTGATGCTCATGATGTCAATCACTGGATTGTCTGGTCCAGACTCCATTATTTACCCACCGCCGTCATATAGCTGGAATATTGCTAATTGCGGCCTAAAATAACAAACCAAAGCAAACCTTATCTTTTCCCAATTGGATAGCATCATTTAAAGCCTGACTATTTGTTTTATGATCATTACATCAGTACATTTGGAATTAATGTCATCTTAAGAAACATACTCAATAATTATATCAGCACACAAAGTAACACTTATGCATTCTACATGCATTCTACAAGCCAAGGACCGTTTCCACTTTCTAGTTGATAGAGAGTCTGTCCGGAGAGGGAAAGGTCTGTGGTTCGACCCCGAGCTGCGTCATACCCACATTGTCATATTGTAATTGCTTTTAACCTACATGGCACATGGCATTACATGGATAGAAAAAGGAGTGGTAGGGTCGGTGTCTGTATACTGTGTATGGATTGTGGTATCCATATTAAAACAACGCATTACGTGTTAGTGGGCTTGGACTATAAAACGGAAATAGCACACACACACGCACGCACTCACACACATTGAACTTCACCTACAAGCGGAACTGCTGGGATAATCTAAATGCATGTTGTAGTAGTGCTGTTGCTTTGCGAACTTCTGACTACATGAGGCTGACCTCGAAATATGTTCTGTTCAGTGAACATTTAGCTACATAATGTCTTTATCGCTGGTGTTCTTACCTGGATATGTGTTGAACCACCGTTACAGTATATCACACAACTAGCGTCACTTGCCTTTCTTGTTACAGTGTCTTGTGAACGGATCAGGTGCTTATCTGGTGCCGCCATCATGGTCATCGGATATCAGATGACAGTTCGTCCGCTGTGTCGATACTAGTGACCATAACGCGTGAGTTGAGTATATATACTGCTCTGGGTGCGGAGATATGAAGGAAACTCTACTCACTCACGTAATCAAATTACATTGCTAACTACATTTGAACTATCTAGATGTGTGGCATTTAGATCTTAGAATAAACATTCTTTATTAAAGTGTCTGTTTCTTTAGCTTGCGTTAAGTGATGTTCATGATGTCATTCACTGGATTGTCTAATCTCGATTGTGTACAAACAATCGTCGTAGAGCTGGAATATTGCTACTAATTAAATAGTTAATTTAAGTGACCAACTGTTTATAGTTCCGAACATGTGTACAGTAGGTGAAATAGTTACCTTTTTAAAAAAAACAATTCAAATCTACCACAGAATTATTCTATTAATCAGAAACTCTTTCTACGCACCAAGTCCACTCCCTAACGTCTAAGACATTTGCCGAAAGAACAGTGACAACAAGCAAGACAAACATCTCTAATGGGGGTAAATGACCAACAAAAATGTCACAAGTGGACAAAATTCTGCACTCTTCATTTGCTCAATACTGATCAATGATGTAAGTATAGGCGGCTGAGTGTAACGTGGCATCACGTGCCATTCGTCACCACTCGTCCCTTTCCGTAACCTGCATTCGGCTTGTCCCGGAATAGCACGAGTTGGTCACGAATGATCAGGTGCGTCCATGGAAAGGTGACAGTGACACGTGGTCTTGTGCACAGCGCACAGGTTACACCTCTGATCCAGAGCCCAAATCTTCACTGATCCTTTGACGGAGCAGTACTATTGTGCCGCGACACAATAGTAGGGACTTCCCTGTACTGCCGTGAGCGTGTGTCCCGGCCGAGTGCGTCCCGGTTACCGCTGCATCCTGTTTCCGTTCACACTTTACACATAAGTGCCATAGTAAAAACAAGTGGCTGCAATCATTCGGATTCTGATCACGTAACTCAACCCATCTTTTCATTTTCTTAATGTCAGATCCACAACTTTGAATCTGCAATCTATTACTATATTGTTCCAGGACATAAAGATCTACAACGTCCACGTACAGTCCGTTTGACTCCAAATGAGAACGATGAATTGCAAAATAACTCGAAATCCAGAAAAGTGAATGAAACAGCAATACGGTACTTGACCATGAATACCCTGTACCCAACAAAATCTGAATTTTGTTTAATTTAAGACCTATGACGGATGAAGTTCTTTAAGAAACTATCATGTATTTTTGTATAGAAATGTGTACATGACACGTAGGGGGACAAACCGTGGAAGGCACAGCGCAAGCACGCATGTACTGCACGTTCTGTGGCAGGGGAAATGAAAGAGCGTTAGAGGGGCCGTCTCATGATAATTTCAGTCGCAATTTGACTCGCTCATGCCATAGAGTCAAACGGACTGTAGTTTTCACACTCACACTCGGAGATAATAATCACTGAAGTGTGGTCCCAGCCGTATGCATTGTATAGCAGATCGTATAGTCAATCTGACTCAATCTACACATGACAGTTTACTCCTATTAAGAATAGTCAACATCGTGCGTTCCCTTTGTAGGTAATATTGGCGTGAGACAAGAGTATGGACGAACCTCTACTTTCACCAACAGTGCCCTTATTGATTTGTGTGAACTGCCAATAATACAACTCTTGGGGAAACAACAACTTGGAATCAGCCGTGTTCCATTTTAAGTCACCATACGGTATGACTCATTAGAGGCTCGGTTCGAGTCTCCACATCGGTAAAAAGTGTGAAGCTCTTTTCCAGTCTAGAAATGTAAGTACTGAGATGACTTGAAATAAAAAGACTCACAACATGGGTGTAGGATGATGTTTTTATTAGTGAGAACAACATAATTCTTCAAATGTAGCTTTATAGCTGCAAAAAATAATAATAGTATTACCTCGTGTTAATCACATGGACCAATATTCCAAATGACACAATAGGTAAAATTCAAAGTTATAACCATGTCCTTCTTAATAATTATGTAACACAAAATGACATTTAATTGTGATAACAAATGTACAATTGTAAAATATACTGAGAGAACAATAGTTTCACTGTGTTTGACACACTTACAAATCACACTTTACACAATGTACATATACATGTACAGTTGGCAAACATATGAAGTCTTGTCCAGCATGCGGAGTCTACACAAACCCTGTATGAGTTTTGCAACAGAGGACATTTGTGCAAGACGGACCAGTTAGGAGATAGATTAATGTTAACACGAACTTAGATACCTAATAAAAACAATAAAAACGAAGCTAACAAAACACGCAGTCCAAACGTGTACATGTCGGCTTTATTTATAAATACACAAATGAAATGAAATAATATAAAACATTAGAACAGTTAACAAATAAGCCAGATTCCCGTTATGCAGGTATTGCCATGGCGCTCAACAGTAGGAAACAATTGTGTCATATATGTGGTGTCGGATTGTAAACATAAAATGATACAAAAGTACATATTACAGCTAGATACCTCGCGAAGACATGGATCAAGTTGGAATGTCAGTGAAACGTACAAGCATTATATGTCAAAGCTTAGATGATATAATGATGCGTACTCCAAATTTGTCGACAGGTGAAAGCAAAGGCACGAAATAAATACGCATGTAACAACATATTGAAAAAAATATGAAATATCGCGTCGTGAAATTCGATAAAGTTCGCTTCTTTGAGGAAGTGAGTTAGTACTTATACGCAGGAGAGTTGCATAGGGAATGGGCGCAGGGAGGGTAATTCATGAAGCACAATGCACTGTACTTTCATCTAAACGGCCGCGCCCGCGGAGCTACGACGACATTTGGTGTCTTTTTTCAAGCCTCGTCCACCAACACGAGATTATGATGTCGATAACTTGTTGAAGCCTTCCCATAATTTTAAGTTCTGTTGTTTGCATTTGACATGTAATTGTCGCCGGTTACCCGGTACTCCATGCGAGGCGACATACTCCAGGATGGTGCGTGGATAGTTCTTGGGAAACTAACGGTTTTTCGCACGCTATTTTAATGTAAATATTCTTTGTTTTGCAGGCGACCGCCTACGTGATCTAGTAGATTCATACTTAAAGACGTTAAAGTATAATACTTGAAGAGATCGTGGCTGGCGCTCGCCATTAAAGAGATAAACTGTGGTCTGGTCGGCTCGAAGTCAGTATACCGTGCCTGAGCTGGATTGCTATGTTAAGTAAATGAGTGAGTGAGTATGATTTTACTCCACTTTTAGCAATATTCTAACAATAGCACAGTGGGGACTCCAGAAAAAGGTTTCAAACATTGTAGCCCCGAGGGGAATCAGACCCTGGGTCTTCGGCGTGACGAGCGAACGCTTTAACCACTGGGCTACGACGCCGACCTAGTAGTTATGTGAAACTGCGTCTTGGTATCTCAGTGGCACTAGAAAACCGACATCAGTGGGGACTAGTACAAGCAGACAGACAGACAGACGGACATGTACACGAGTGTCGCAATAATCTTGCACGCGACGTTAACGCGGCATTAAGCTTCATTTCACCTCACCTGATGTCTAAATTGTGGCACGTTAGATTTTGAATGATTTGAAAAAAAAGAATCTTCCTCATGATAAAGGTTATCTGCATGACCTATTTGTGCAGAATGTCACATGAAAGAGCCCCAGATCTGATATCATGTGTTCACAAAGACATGGAGGCCAGCGGCCCACATGACATAGTGTTACATATCCTATATAAATGAAAACATAGTTTTAGCATGTAACAATTAAAAGGGTAAAGGATAACCAATCAAAACAAACAGAAGATTTCATCCCTGTACGACACACGCGTGACCTTTACATTCAGTACATTCTATTTTAAGGCCGCGTGGAGAAAATATTTTCAAGTTTGACTTTTTTTAATATCCGGTCAGTCATAATAATTTATTTTCACCTCGACTCTCGAACCGGTTAATATAAAATGCCAATGCAAGATATTAACCAGTCTTGATTATCCACTGAAACAGATACCATTTTGCGTAAAAGGCAAAATAGTTGTGAAAATGATATGGCTGGGCAATCTAAAACCGGTAATGATACCAGGTGTTAGCGAAAAGGGTAAGGATGTCCTGCCCTACCGGAAGAACCCGCAAATCACACAAATAAGTAAGTATTTATTGTCTGACGCTGTACAGCAATACTCCTGCAATGTGATGGCGGCCTGTGATCAAACAAGGGGTCGATGAACGAACAAATCTAGTGAGACAATGGTGCATTTACTGATTTTGTTGAAACGATTAATTGGTTTTGAATTAAGCCTGTTGTGTAAACGTGCAGCGATTCTACAGCACCTTAGTAAAGAAAAACGTTTAAGAAATATATTCGTTTTGAAAACAGTGTGTGTGGAAGGTGGGGGTTTGGTGGTGTCAGTCTTTATGCCTCGCCCCAAGTACTGCTATCAATTCAGTGTCTCCATGTTCAAGGTCAGTTGACACGGATTAAGTGAGTGAGTGAGTTTGGTTTTACGCCGCTTTTAGCAATATTTCAGCAATATCACGGCGGGGGACACCAGAAATGGGATTCACACATTATACCCATGTCGGGAATCGAACCCGGGTCTTCGGCGTGACGAGCGAACGCTTTAACCACTAGGCTACCCGACCGCCCCGACACGGATTAAGCCATAAATGTAAACAACAGTAATAATGGGAAGTGACATAGGTGCACAGCTCGTTCAGGATGCCTGAAAGTCAATGGGAATTAACAATTATGATTAAGTGATTCTAGATATATACATGCCATGGCTACAGTGTAATTGGCCTTCAGATAAAACTGTTCATCCATACCATGGATGTTCCACATCGGTCGCCGTGACAATACAGTTCCATTTGATGTTTTGCAACAATGGAGGCTGTCACACTTTGACTATTACTTGCACGATCTCTATACTTTCTGTGTCACATTCGATATGAAGGATGAGGTTTCATGATCACCGTCTTTCACGGTACTTGGTCCTCGCCCTGTTGGGAAGGAGATAACGATTTTATTTATACGCGTTCAATCATGAAGAACAGGTATCCACTCTTAAAAAAGTAGGGAATCATGAAACATTTATGAACAAAGATAAAAATTCTATGCAAAAACATGTATATCTATAAAAACAAATTCTATAGTTTGCACGTGCGTTATTCTTTTATTCGACTTATCACACGGATGTGACCTACTTGATTGCATTCATTGTTTGTGTTAGAACAAGTGATACGGATCTTGCAACAGGAAAAAGGCATGCTGGAAACTGACAACATGCAGCTTACAGTGGCCAATGCGTTCAATGAGTGACAGCCTGTGATTAGCAGAATATGGAACAGGTACGAACAAACCATGAATTCATGATCTTATGTTGACTATGCTACCTTTATTTAATGACACTTCGAACAATATTTCCACTATATGGTGTGTCAACTTTTTGCGTAGGGACATGTTTGGTATAACCACTGGCACAACTACAATGTAATCAGCGCGAACCTGTGATGTGACCCCAGGATCATTGGATACTTTCACGACAGAGGGAAGCAACTGTTAGTTGCATTGTAGCGCTATATGTCTAACTATAGCTAAATAAGGCTTGCACCTAGATCATAGAAGGGATCAGGCGATATTACTAATTTACATCCCATGTATATATCAACTTGTTCTCGTCGCTATATGGCTGAAAAGATGTCGATGCGAGGTTAACTTTTAACTCACTCACGTCTATGAGTCTTTCAGAGCCAACCCTTTAGCTACTGCACAACATTCCTATCTGCATACAATGTTTTGGCGCCAGTGATCAAATAGTCCACTGAATTTTGTAATTGAAGACAAACAGTATACAGAACTGTGCACAGTATGGCCTATAATCTCCCATCTTTGTTCGTGTTATTCCAGTTCAACCTTTCGTCGGATGAATAGCTGACAGTGAGTTTTGGATTAAGTGCATTCTCCTACTTGTGGGAAAGCAGCCGCGTGATCTGGTGTGACTCTATTTTTACAGACTTTGAGGGTGGTAGTCGACATTTTTGTGCTGGGGGCCTGGTTGTCCCTGGTAAGTATAGTATTCGGGGGCTTACCATTCTATATAAGACGACAGAGTCATGCTCTTTAATTTGAAAATGTGTTGTTCAAAGTTTCAAAAAGAGTCTCCAAAACAGTATTAATGTCGTTTGTTGGGGTGCGACAAGGTGAGGAATTGGCAGAGAGACTTCAGAAGTTTCTGTTCACCAGCACTTGTTTACTGAGTAGTCGTCAGATAACCATTGGGCTCACAACTTTGTGCCAGTAAGGAGGGTTCGTCAGTTACGTTGCGGCAGTATGCATGTTGTATTGACAAGGTCTAATGTAAAGACAAGTGAATATAGCGAGCAGGCACTTTCTGTGATATAGAGAAAATTCAATGCATGGTCACTCGCAATATCATCTACTGTGACCAGCTAATATATGTATCACCAACGAAGCCGTCTTAGGTTATTTGTTTACCCCCTGCTGCCGTATGTGAGACAATGATTGTAAAGAGAGAAGATATACACAACAGGAATGTTGAATCATGTCTATTCTTATCTTCAGAATACATTCATGTTTTAATGTCGATTTAGTGTTTATTTTGTTATTTCGTTTCACTCTTGTCAAAGTGATCGGTTGTAGATTTGTAAGTGAATAAAATGTAGAGCATTTTGTAATTCTCAAATTATCTTTTTTATCATTGAGCCAAAAACTTTGCAGCAAAGTGACGCTTTGCCATTGAGAAATAATATTAAACGTTTCATCAACCCATCAATCCAAGTTGAGAAATGATTGCTTTTCTATCACGCATCGTACGTTAGAAAATGAAATGAAAATATGTCACACTTACTATTATGGCAAAGACTGAAAAGAAAAGAAAGAACTAATTAAACAAATTAAATATTAAAGAAGTCAGTACATGCCACTTAAGGTTGGTCGTTCAATGCATGATGAATGTTTACAATGACTTCGATAATTTAGGCTTGCCATCTCCAAGTCAATCTATTGTGTCCAGACATATTTGAATACGTCAGCCATGATGTTCCTTGAGAACTTACTACAATGTTCTTTACTTCGTAACTAAAGATTATCTAAAGTAAATATTACAAATTAACGAGGAGAAAATAAGCTGCCATGCACGCCGTAGTTGTACTTCTATGTATGGTTTTCACGAGGTTACTGACATTGATTTAATAGTCGTGTACTATCCAACACTATGATGTTGCTGGGAAGTGCTATGAAGTCTATGCTGGTGGATATTGAAAACGTGTAACAGTTTCAGGAGCGACTTACATTAGCCCAATAAACACACATTGAACACATTGAGAGATATGGTGGTACGTGCATGCTTACCGGACGCATACAATCACTAGAATGATTACAATCGCCACCATCATCGCCATCCCCACCACAGCGGCAAATGTGAAAGCGATCCAAGCGTTTTCTGTACCCTCCTTTGATTTCCTTTCGTTGTTTTCCTCTGAAATATATACTAATAATAGAAAAGAGTCCCCGTGCGAATACCTGTTGTTATTTCAAAAATAATAGTTGAGGCTGGTTCTTGGTTTATTAGTGAAATCGAGGGTCCAAGACAGGAGAACGCCCACAATACACAGATGTGCATCCAGGTATATGACTACTCTATTTTACACAAAGTCCCCATTGTTTTAAAGCGAACTTGCTGATTGTGACAACAGATACATGCAAACGTAATTACAGTAGTGGAGTACATCATTATAGCTTTAGAGCAATGCTTATGAAAAACTGGCATAAATCCAGGACTCGCTCGTGTTTTGTTCTGCAACCTAAACATTGGTAAGTAAAGGGGTGCAGTAAAAACATAGACTATTTTAACTAGATAGATAACTAGTTGTATAAACATATATCCTTGTTAGGTGAGGCTGGTTGAAATGTTCATGCACGCGTGTGTGCTTGCGTGCGTGCGTGCGTGCGTGCGTGCGTGCGTGTGTGTGTGGGTGTTTGTGTGTGTGTGCCTTAGTTTCAAATGGATACCCCGGTCAGACAAAGAGAACTGACTCAGAGCCAACCATTATTTGTGATACAGATCGTGTGGTAATAATAGATGACATGGCAAGTGTGGTGTCATCGGGCTCCAGCGGCTCCATGGCTCTCGTGGTGTCAACCACAGGGTTGCCTGGTCATCCTGTCGCTGGGTCCTGCCAACTGTTTTGTAAAAATATCTTAGCCATATACAGGGGAAGGTCATCTGTCACTCAACTATTTTCAATCGTTTTTGCAAATGCAACTTCAGAACGCATCAACAAATTTGCTTTGTGTACCTAAATTACATTTGTAATGTCATACCTTCACAAAAATTTCCCTTTTTGCCATCTTTACACCCAACTGTACACGTTCCATCTTCGTGACTACAAATGTTGTTCATACAATTCTTGCTGCACCCTTTGTTGCATTCATCACCATACCAGCCTGCAATACATCCTTCTGAACACAGACCAGTTTCTATGTGACAGTGAACAGTGTTTGTGTGAGGACGAGGACGACAGTGCGCACTGCAGATTTTGTCACATGCGTCTCCATATGTGCCCCAGGAACACCAGCTGTTACCACAAACGCTCGGTACTGCAACAGAGGAACATAAACAATATAGAGCAGCAGACACAACTTGTTTACTCTTTATGGAAAGGGTTTTGTCGCTTTTATTTATTGAGATATATAGTTTTCTGGTGGTTACAAAAGTAACACATACATTGACTACATTCTGATTAGTTTATTCTGTATATAAACAAAAAAGCTAACACATAGTAAGGATAATATATGACTTGACAACTGAGATTAGTACAGTATTCCTGTCATTATGCAGTTTTACATGGCTAAGTACTATAGCGTGTATCAGTAGAGGTCAATGAAGCCTATACTAATGGTGCAGTATATCGTTTGGTTGGTTGTCGTTGTTGTTTTGCGCCAGTATAAACTGCCGGGCCAATACTAGATTTGACCAAAAGACTATGAAGGGTATAAAACACTGCAACGTTATGGTTCACAACAAAATGATTATGTCCGCATCAAATAAATCCCCTTCGAATAACCATTTCTTGTTTATTTCATATTTAACCACCATCACACTTTGGTGTATGCCTTCTTTTCCGGCAGCTTATTTATAAATGAAAGCCTACTTTTGCTTTATGTACTCTCCTATAGAAATACATGAGCGAATAAAAAGATGTAGGTAATATTGACAATGAATGAAACATTATACTCACTGAAGACGGTCACAAGTATGCATAACGTGAACATTTCCGAACTTGAGTATCTATCTTTCCTCGCTTGACCTGGAAAGAAATAACGATTCTATTGACATTTGGACATCCTAATTACCAAGTTGGCAGCTAATAGAAAGGGATGTGGGAACAATTGTCTTTATATCGACATTAAGCCTACATGGAGATGTATCATAATGTAGACCTTGCTCCAGGTGTCGCGATCACTTATATATGCTAGAAGATTATGATCCTTTTCAAGGCAGTTGCTACGGGATCGAACTACGAGTGAAAAGGGCAGACTTTCTTCAAACACAATAATCAAGCTTCTTTTTTGCTAAAAACAAAACAACTACATATGCCTCTCGTAGATACATCTCATAATATGCCCATTCCTTGCAAATTCAAAGGTTTATATTATGAAGGTCATAGACCCAAGTGCGTACAATACAGCGCACTGTACAATCATTTTACAAGTAGATTCGCATGTTTCATTTCTGCTCCTGGGGGCATATTTGAAACATCACATAACAGATTTTACATGCTGAAGATTTGTGGAGGGCATAAGGCGAATATATTGTTTGAGTAAACATTGATTCGTATATTCATTGGGAATGTATATTGCTTTCAAATGCCTTTTTAGGATCGGCATATAAAGTCGAAATGACACAGATCTTGTTTAGGTTACTACAACTACATCATCATTTAGATTTTTGGAATTATATTTCTCCTGGTATCAATATTAAGTTTTATTCATCCAACTCGAGCACGAGCAAAATCTGTGGCAAAGTACACAAGGTCTGATCTATTAAATATGTCTCTGCTTCTAGGCGTATGCTATAAAACATGCATATCTAGTACTATATGATAACATGTTGGTCCATTTGTGGCTGTACATGTCTTTCAATCTCGCTTGGAAAAGGTTAAGAAAACTAGTTATACATCATCCAACAACTGGGTAAGGCCTGAACTAAATAGAAAATATCTACCATTAGTTGCCCAGTTCTGTCTACGTACTGAATCGAGATTAAATAGCATTTCGTATGACTTACGGGGCAGTCTATGAGATGGCACATGAAGTAGTGTTAGCAATTGTTTACAGAAATTCTGCTCAGGCTTTATAAACAATGGCTACCCTCCCCTATTGAGAGTGTTAATTTCCTTTACCAAGATAATGATTACATGCTAGATATTTGTCCTTTCTACTACCTCTAATCTTTAATGTCCCCATATTTGGCACCCATAAAGAAGGATGGGATAAATATTTTAATCAAATATTTAAGAAATGTCCGAAGAGGGATTTCTCCACGTCTAAACCAATTTAAAAGCATTTACTCATGACCTTTTACCCCTTTAACGCCAAATGTGACACTGCCCTTGTTTAATTTAAAGATGGAGTCAACACTAGTCTAAGCTATTTATATGCTAATTCAACTTCTTCAATTTCATTACGAAACCATATCGTTCATGCTAAAGAAGGTTTACATTTAACTTCCATGCTGAACAATAGTCATTTGGAATATTCAGCTGATCTTGTAATCCACTTACTCTGTCAGAAGTATATGTAACATTATCAGCAAAAACCAATGGAAACCATTTCTCCAGCCAATAATATCACACTGTTCCATAACAATTTAAAATATATCAAATAATTTAATGTCTTTTAAAAACAAGAATTAAACAAGAACTTACATCATCAAAACTACCCTTTAATTAAATTGAATGATAATAATCATCCCTCGCGATGGAAATGTCCACAGAGTCAAGCAAGATATGCTTCACAGCGAACAGTTCATCACAAGGGACTAAGAATGGGGGATCTTCGCCCTTCCATATACAGGAAACTACAATTGTAACGAACTCAAATTGACCACTTATTTTAGTTCGTTTTAACCGCAGTTCGTTTTAAGCATATATACAACATCTATACAGCAAATTGCCGGGACCAAGAATTAAGTTTGTAATATCCGTCAGTTCGTTATAAGCGTGTTCATTATAAACGTATTTTACTGTATATGGAAGGGCGAAGATCCCCCATTCTAAGTCTCTTGTGATGATCAGTGCACTCGGCGCCAAAAGAAACTCCAGCAAAAGAGACATACACACACGGATGTAGGTAAAGAAGAGATGTCTACAATGTGTACCACTCAATGACAAAAATTACAATCAGTCAAGTGTTACCACAGAGCGTCTTTATTCTTATCGCGATATGAAGGTATTTCCAAACGCTAATCCTGCACGAGACAAACAGTGCATCTCGAGTCATGGATCTATGACGTCTCATGTGATGCGTTCATGAGCGTGGGTTCACACAAAAGAACAATATGTTCGTTTGTGCATTGAACCCACTTTATATCTCTTGAATATGAGGACATATGGACATCGTCTGAAAATGAAGGAATATAGTGAGTGAGTGAGAGAGTTGGGTTTAACGCCGCTTTTAACAGTATTCCAGTTATATCGCGGCGTGTCAGCTTAATGTGGGAGGAAAGCCCGAAGTGATGCAGGTCTCAGACGTTTACCACTTCGGTGAAACCCACGAGCACGGGTATGGTGCTGACAAACCTAGAAACATATTCGGGGCGAATCGGGATTCGAACCCACAATCATAGGTTTGTGGCGTGCCCAAGGGACATAACTCTGCATAGCGAATCGCGGCGCCTTAGACGACTGGGCCACCCGTGACCTGAAGGAATATGATACCTATTTATAGCTATCAACCTGTTTACGAGGTATCTGTGGGTCGGAGAGTTGAAAGATAAAAAAAACCCTGAGTAATTCAATCCTTAAATTGGGTACTCTCTCAGGCAACACTGCCTATGATTTTAAGGACGGGAATTCGACAATAAGAAGGCGAACATATTTTCAAAGTAAGGGTTTTACATTTTATGTGACTAAGAATTGAAACTGAACCTTCCTCTGCTGAACGAGTGATAAGAACACTTAAAAAAACATGTACAGGTATTTTACTTACAAACAATATAAACTTATCATTACCTAGATATCTTTCAAGATGAGGTCGAAGACTATAAACACAGGCCGCATAGATCACTAAATAATACCTACTGACATTAATAAGAAGAATGAAGCTATCGTGTGGAAAGAACAATGCGTTGACACTTTGGTGAAGAAAGTTCTCAAACCAAAAGCCATAACCAAATATAAGCCTAGGAAAAGACCCTTTAAAATTAAGGTTGGAGACCAAGTGAGACTGTGTCATCTTTGACATGCCTTTCAAAGAGACTATCACGAAAAGTGGATAGAAGAAATATTCATCATCAGGAGACGATGCTACAGGAGTGGAATGACTATCTACCTGCTGAAAGATATGGTAGAGAATTCGGTTAAGGACAGTTTTTACGAAAACGAATTGCCGAAAGAAGACAAGCCTCTTTTACAGTTCTCAATAGTGGAAAGAGAGCTGGATCCCAGAGAACAATCTCAAATAAGTGTAAGTAGCGAAATTGTAGTGACTAATCCCAGTTGCATTCTGTCAGCCATGGAGTCCACATGTCCAGAATGTGAGATGACTTTCTCGAGGAAAGAAAACCACCATAAATCGTCGTCGCCACCACCACTATCACCGCCGCCGTCGTTGCAATGCCTACCACCGCCACCACCTCCATACCCTCAGCCACCACAGCCACAACTACCACTTGCACCGCTCAGCTCCCAGGCTTTATTTCCGACACCGCCCGGCAAAGTCCGGCGGTCGTCGTGATACGGTGTCAGTACATTATGTGTAGGAGAAGCCACAGCCAAAACTACCACTTGCATTCGTGACCAACTCGTGTTATTCCGGGACAACCCGAATAGCGACTCGTGCCCCTCTCATGGCCATTTTTGCTACCGGGTTCGTCTTAGCACAAACAGGCATACCTAAAACAATTATCAAGTCGTTGCGTTATGGTTCACATATACTTCCCCATATATTATATATATTTCAGATGCAATTTAAAGCACATCTGGACATGCCGATTTATAAAGTATGATTAAACACATTAAACTGTTCTTGGGTATATTTTCAGATGCAAGACACATGTAAAATCAAAAATTATTTGTGAGGGATTCTTTGACCAAGAACTTGAAATCATACGCGCATTCTGATTGGTTTGTCGTATAACATAACATTCATCGATAGGGCGACGAGTCTTCTTGCAGGTGACGGAAAGGGGCGAGTGGTGACGAATGTACCACTTGTACCGCTCAGCTCCAAGGCTTTATTTCCGACACCGCTCGGCAAAGTCCGGCAGTCGTCGTGATACGGTGTCAGTACATTCTGAGTTAGAGAATTAGTGGCCCCAAAATGTCATTCTCTCGAGACCTAAAGGCATTCTCAAACCATGTTTTGACTTGATATATGTTATCTCTTGTATGTTCTCTACCGTATTCTAGTATTGAAAATGAATTTGTAACTACGATTCCTTTTCATAACATATGTTCAGCGCTTTATTTTGATAATTACATCTTCAGTTTAGGTATAGTAGTTAGTTTGCTATTATTTTTCCCCCGTGTGTAGAAACACATGTTGGCTAGGCACCCCAGTCTGTTGTATTTCCCGGCGATCCAGGATAGTCTGTTCTCCCTGATGTCAGCATGCTGTATATTTAAAGGTTTTTTTTCGAGATCTCGTGTCTTCACCCTCCAGGTTTCGTTAAGTCGGTCACGGTTGCCTCGCTACTGGTTTGATCAGGTTCGAAACTCAGGTTCCGTGACACTTATCGATCTAGTATTGACTTAGTCTAGTTATAATGAACTAAGTTACTAGGGTTTGTAATACTCAGTTTTTCCAGTAATTCGTGGATAACCAACCTTTTGTATTCAATTTCCCTCCTCCATATATATGATACTAGTCAAGGATTGAGGATATCCTGGAAGTGCCTTACAGAAACAGGTTACAATACACAGAATATTATTCAGTGCCTGTACTTGAGCTAAATCGCTTTAAAACTGACGGCGTAGTTCCTTGTCAAAGAATGGTATTATTAGAATTTGAGAAATATGTTTAAGTTAGAAAACGTGTGCTGACATTGTTGTGTGTTTTCTTTTTGGCATAAAACAGTAATTATATGCTCATCTGCATATATCTTGTTATAAGCAAAGGAACGTATAACCTTGCTAAATGAAAAAAAACAGTATAACACGCTCATGCTTAATGGTCGAAGTGGTCCCTTTATACCTAGGACCGACAGTTTTGTATTAAACGTAATCAACTCCAACTAAGAAATCATTACACTCGCAGTTTTGTTTGTTTGTTGTTTAATCACGCACTCAGCAATAATCAAGCTATATTGACCACGGTCTGTAAATAATCGAGTCTGGACCAGGCAATCAAATGACTGACATCATGAGCATCGGTCCATCCGATCCCGTTAGTCGCTGCTTACAAGCATACTCGCATTTGTACCATGTACTGTACAACTTGAATTGTCTTAATTACATAATTCAGTTGTCAATAAAATGGATGCATTTAATAGGAGTATGCAATAAAAGGACATTTTTTAATCATGTTTTATCATTCTATTATCAAGTTTACGTCAAAAACCTGGATTCCCTTTACCAACCGTCAGTCTTGATTACCACCCAAACTCTCATCATCAATATTGTAATAGTAAACGTTTCTCATGAAAGCAGATACTTATTTAATATTTATTTTTAAAGTTACATGACTTAATCGTTTGAGAGTAAGATAACGGAAATTATTATGATGAAAACTAACTTGTTTTCGCATCACAAACATTTATCATTGACAGAAACCTATCTGGTATCAAAATTGTCTTCTTTTGAATGTTTATTGAAGAGGAGATTTCTACATGACAAAATTGCATTTTTTATATAGACAAAGATGCCGGACACAAAATAATCTCCTCATTTAAAGGTACCAGGGTCGTTATCATACTCACGTGAGATTTAGCTGAACGTTTATTATTAAAGATCAACATAATTGTCATTATTTTGGACAATAATTGAGTCATCTTACATTCCCTTTCTTAACACTCAAACACAAAACTACTGTTTCTGGTTGCATAAATTTTGCCGTCAACATATGGTATTATTCATGTTCAACAGTTGCGTCCCGTGAACCTCCACCGGAAGCTTGGTCAGAGCATGTGTGGGGCAGTAAGAAACAGGTCGCTGTGAGGAATGAGGAAAGGTGCCCGATGAAGCGAACGTAAAATATTGCCACCCCTGCGTGTTCTGCAGCGTCTGTGTGCTCTCTATATGTGTGCGTCCGACAATCTGATACAAAACTACCAAACAATTTCAATTTTAAAGGCTTTAATGGAAAGATTTCATAATTAGTACAGTCCATCAGTCCATACGTAGCAATTAAATCGTTTTCACTCATAAAGCAAATTAAAACAATCATGCATTTTTTAAATGCTCTATATTTTAGCAGATTCCTTCAAAACGGTGATCGACCATACAGTCTTTTTACCCGTAGCTTTCCCCAAATCAATATACCAAAGGTATTCATGACAGTAGACCCCAGCCTAGTTTCGTTTGAGTTTGTATCTCAAAAGTCGCTGAAGCGAAAAGACATCTTGCGACGCGAGTCATTTCTTAACGCGATGAAAACTGATTTAAAAGGTCCCATCCCTTACAAACAGCTTGTTGGGACCAGAGAAGGAGGCTGGGATTAAGATAAATATCAGACAAATAAACTTTCCAAACATCAGTCGGCATGGTTACACGTGAAATGAAACTTAAACGATGTAAACAGATTTTATATACCAAGGCATTCTGTAGATCAGTGACGTGGTTACTATAATTCACAAATCCGAGTTTGTATGTGTACATGACTCGCGGATATGGTGGACTGCCTTCCTCAAGGTTTGTTAACACAGTATGTGCCGGACGCGCTAAGCTACCTAGTTTCAAGCTGTGCGACAGCTATTAATAGATACGGTGGCGAGCCTTTGCCACCCGATCCCGTCGCCTCTTACGACAAGCATAGTCGCATGTACCCCGGAGGGTTTACATATCGGCTGAAAGAGACTGTTTTAGAATAAATGTATCCTAACAAAAGCGTTACCTCGTGAACATTGGAAGCTTCAAGAACAGAAGCTGCTCCTCATCTCCGTTGTAGGGTGATTATTAAGGTTTTGTTTCTTGCAATCAATTGCAATCTATTTATCTTTCCACAGAGAATATTGTGCACACAAGTACCTAATGATAATCATGCAAAGCAACGGTTTATTTACAATCAATATGAACATCAAGGGGACAAATATAAGAAGTCTCCTTAGTCAGGATAGATCACCATGTCCCAATGTTAGTCGTATCGTCGTATTAAGAAGAGAATCGGGTGGTCGCAATGTCTGACCAGGCTGGAGTGTTCATGCCATCAGCTCTATGTACAGGCTGTCGTAATAAAGGCTATTCCTGACTGACATAAAACAACATTCATTCACACACTGGCCTCATGCTTGATAACAGAACAAACACACAATTACAAGAGGACACTGTGAGCCCAAATTGACGCCAACTAGTGTAAAGAGATCGATCATGTGATATTTCCCTCATGGAATATCACATGTTCGATCACAGAGATACATATATTGGTTTAAGCTACATACATTGAATATAAACAAGGAAAGTTTTGAAGTTCGACATTTAATACCAAACGTACCTATTTGCCACACACCAGTGAAGTGTGAAATAAGTGTGTTTCACTCGTATAGATCAAAAACAGTTATGTCACCTCACAAGTTACAGCTACCTAGGTCGGGTACACATTTAGGAGTGAGTATGTTTTTTAGCAATATTCCAGCAATATCACGGCGGGGTACACCAGAAATGGGCTTTACACATTGTGCCCTTGTGGGGAATCGAACCCGAGTCTTCGGTTTGACGAGCAAACGCTTTGACCACTAGGCTACCCAACCGCCCCTATACATTAAGGATATGAGTACAGGCAAGATCGTTAAACAAGGAGCAAGACATACATGTAAAATAGCGTTATATAACATTAGGTGAGGAATAAAGTTATCGTTTGAATAAGCTTGAGTGTTCAGCAATATTCCATCAAAATCACGGCGTGGGACACCGGAACATAGGCTCCAAGACGAGCCAACGCTTTAATCACTTGGTTTCCCCAGCGTCCCGTTTGAATAAGATAAGATATGAATATTCATATATACATAACTCAAAATGTTTGGAAAACATGGAACAAAATAGTTACCTTGATGATCGAAAAATGTTTATACACTATGACCTATATACACACAACTACATATATATATATATTTCTAGTTTTACATTTCGTATTTACTTACCGAAATATCTGAGTGTGTTCGTCTATAACAAACACCTGAAGACTGACAGTTACAAGTGGCTGCACAAAGAGTCTTACAAGGTCAACCAACCAGATATATAAATAGATATACATGCGTGCACTTATGTAGGTTCAGTTAAAAGCTATCGGGGTAGCTCGGGGTATGTGCAGCTAGTGTGACATTGTTGTATAACGTATATTGATTTCAGTACATTATGACCCCACAAGTGCTGAACTGGTGGCCGTATGCTGTATGTTGATTTTCCAAGAAAGCAATTCAAATGAGGGCATTTTTTAAGAATATTGCTACAGAAAGTGTATCAAATGTATTTGGTCAGTAAGGCTCTTATCTTTTTCCCCAAAATCACAATATTATGACAGTAAAGCAAGGTTGGCTTCACGCGAACTACAATGGCAGAATGTAGTCGGTGTGGGATGCTGACTCAATGGGTTCAAAGAATATGAATAGAGGTACCTGTTATTTGAACACATGAACTATACTATATTGCCCTAAAAGAGCAACGTGTCCAACTAACGCATTAAGAAGCTCACGGCGGATATTCAGCTTGTAGTTTAGGTTGTGATTTCCGCTGCTGATGGCATATATTTATGATATACAGTTTTCTGATCATCAACACAGAAGTCCCTCACAAGGTGAGAATAGGACAGGCTGTCTTCAGAAGTACCATCCGATGCAACATCCGCTTCACGGTCTTGCACTTCCCTGAGTTGTTCATCATTCGCCTCGGTATCAAGTGGTTGGCCTTCTAGATTTACATCTGCATCTGCTATTTCCCAATACATGGACGCGGGCTGGTACGCCTCCAAGTAGTGGTCTGCTTGATTTGTCCTATATTGAAAGAAGGTTAAATAACAGTAAAAATATAGCGTTTGATAAAAATGCAATTGATATCCTTTGTGGAAGTATTTCTAAAAATGAATTATTAATGCAAGAGAATAACCAGCCAAGATTATCTGCCAAAACAGATTCCACCTGGCATATATGGCAAAAAGTTGTGGAAATTATATGAATGGATCACTGAAAATCAGTGATGATACCAGGTGTTCGCGAAAAGGGTAAGCATATCCTGCCCTACCGGTAGCACCCTCCGTTCACACAATTTGCATATATAAAGTAAGTATTTATTGCCTGCAGTATAGCAGTACTCCTGCCATGCGACCTCAACCTGTTAACAAACCAGACAATGAAGTGATCGATGAACAAGAAAATCCAGTGAAACGAGAGTACCATTCCTGGCTATATGAATCTAATACAAACGGTATGTTAATTCTGAATTACGTCTGAAGAAACATGTAAATATCAAGTTCCGTGTATTTAGAGGTAACCGGTTCTCGAAACTTAATGTTGCATCTATCACTAACATTGATCAAACCCTTTTCAAAGCAGGGTCTCATCCTACCAAGTTTGATGAAAAATGCATAAATAATGTTCAGCACGTGTAACCACAAGCATTTGTGAGTTGTTTTTCTAATCATGATCTTTAACTTTGACCTTTTCATGACATATGCAAAATTAATTGCCTAGCGCTATATGAAAGAAGTCCATGGTGGAATGGTGTGAATGATCTTTGTGCAGAAGTAATTAGAAAAAGGATCGAGGGATTGGTCAATTTCAAGCAGTTCTGCTTCAGCATCATAATCCAAGATTTGTTCATGGCGTTAAAAAATTCAGTCGCCATATTTACTTCCCCAATTTTAAGTATCTGCTTATCTGATTTCATGTACAACACAAACCCCACTGATGCGTTACAAGGCGCCATGTTCGACATTTTTGCTGTATCAATGCACCACTTTCACTTTACTTTCTCGATAAAGGGAAAGGAAATTATGAAATTTAAAGTAGGTGAACGTTTTATCTTTGGACAACTGATGAAAACGAAATCATTACAAGCAAATAACATCCAGTTGTTTTCAATCTACAGCTTATTATCAATTGCTCAGACGCTGAAAAACCTCGCAGTCATCTAACAGTAAGGATAATGACCCTCACTTCTACACACACGTTCTACATATCAAATGAACTAATCACACACGTTCTACATATTAAATGAACTAATCACACACGTTCTATATATTAAATGAACTAATCACACACGTTCTATATAATAAATGAACTAATCTCCTTGGTCCAAAATTGTGATCGACATAGGCGGCTGGAGAATTCGGCTCCGAAACTCTATGTTTACGGAAGTTAGCATGTGTAATTTGCAAAATGTATAAATATACCTTTTTGCATATTATTTGCTGGTTTAAGTATTAAATGCTTACCTTCTTGTTGATGAATATTTTCGAAGACACATGCAGCTTGCTAACAGGATTCCCACAAGACACAGCACTGTTGTCAGTCCTATTATGATGTAGTTGCTATGAACCTCCGGTTTCGTACCTGCTGAATAAAATGATGCTATGTTAATTTAATAAGACATTTACAATGCCGTTAAATACAATCATGTTGGAATAGCCACGAGGAGAGAGCACGGTATCGGTCTGTCAAGCGCTGAAGTTTTTGTTTGTGCTGGGTATTCAATTTTGTTTCTTATTGTTTTGCAGATACATCGACGAATACATAGGACTGTCTAACACGACGGAATGTGAAGACCCAGGCACTCTCTATTAACCGATCTAACAGTATTCCCGATCCCGTTAAATCATAGTTACAACATCATTATTCAAACTCCGGAAACTGTCTATTCCAGACGCTGGCACAGATTTTCGGTCTCATTCTCCAGTTTCCTCTCTGTATCGAGGCATTGAGAGGATTACTGTAACAATATCTCTCACAACATGAGGCTTGTGTCGGTACGTGAGTCCACTGTACGCGTAGACTACTTGAAACAAGTTAAGAACGCCCACAAATGGACGGATGTGTGTTGAAATACCTACCAGCCATGACATGACTTCTTCCGATATACGTATCTATATTGCATGTCTATACATATGGATATTGCATAGCTATGTCTTATTGTAACAGCTAGTGAATTATAACGGATAACTATCGATAATTATCGTATTAACTTCCACTTTAACACTATTATGACAATATGACAAACATGGTATTTCTACTCAACATAAGACATGTTAAGATGACAAGAAATATACCCCTATCTTCCACCCTTGTTCTCTGGTTTTTTGTCATGTGCAATGTTTTTATATTTTCTTATTAAAATGTATTTTTACCTCAAGTCTATCATATATCTATGTATCATGGTTGCTGCGGCAATTTGTAAAAATACAGTTTAAAGCTGTGTCAAACTCAACTCAAACGTCAATTTTTTTCAAAGCATAAACGAAAATTGTCTCAGAATAAAATCAATTTTCAGAGAGAGAAAATTGATACCAATAATTACATTTAGTATTATAATTGAAATGAATATTATCTTACCACATGTACTTTGATTTCGGCAGATGCCTATCGAACAGTCACTTGTACAGGTAGATTTGCACCCATGATCAGTAATGTTGCAACCTTGTGTGCAGGTTCCAAACTCCTGGTCACAAATCCCATCAATGCATATCTCACAGGTGTTATTACAAAACGCACCATAATAACCATTGCCGCACCCTTTCACACAGGTTCCATTCTCTGAGTGACATTCATGATCGATGCAGCTCTCATAGCAGGAGCAGTCAGTCCCAGCATACCCTGGTGCACAACCATCTACACACGCTCCTGAATCATTGCAGGCCAGATTTGCACACTTTGAGTTACATCGCGATGAGCAGTTAGTACCATGCCATCCGGTATTACAGCCATGAATACAGTATCCTGTCGTTTTGTCACATTCGGGGGTGCAATTGGTGGAGACATTTCTGTCACAGGCTGATGATGAAGTTCCGTCGGGGTCAGGGAGGCAGTTTTCACTGCACACCTTTTCACACCAATGGCCATAAAATCCAGGATTACAACCGTGGATGCAATGTCCTGTCTTCTTGTCGCAGTCCAGGATGCACGTGTTGGAGACATTTCGGTCACATTCTAGCACAAAAGTTGCGTCAAGGCCGGCGCGGCAGTTTTCACTACACACCTTTTCACACCAATGACCATAAAATCCAGGATTACAGCCTCCTTCGCATCCAGCCTTGCATGTTCCTTTACAATTCTCACATGGCATCTCACAGTTGGGGCCAGTGTATGGAGAATGACACTGGTTACACATTCCCGTGCTTCTATTACACGATTTACATTGTTGAGAACAGTTCTTGCAGTCAAGGCCATAGTAGGAGTCCACGCATCCAGAAACACAGACTGACCCAATCTGGCAGTAGTTGCCGTGACACCCTCCTTGGCATTCTGTACACTGTCTCTGATGTTCACATGGTATGCTGCAGCTTGTACCCTGGAGTCCTGGATTACAGCCGTGGATGCACGCCGCGATGCCACTGCCTTTGAGCAGTTCACACGCTTTATATCTGCAGCCACTGTTGCACGTAGATGTACATCGCTTGTTGAAATACCCAGGGTGACACGTTGATGAGCAGTCACCTGTTTCATCACAAACTGCACAGTGCTGGCCATCTTTGCAGGGTGTTGCTATGCAAAATAGAACACATATTTAGATGAAAATAACATCAAAAAGTATTCAAAGCTATGACAGCAAATTAGACGCATTAGATCAATGGGTCACATTTTTTTCCAAATAACGAAAGAAATTGCTGAAGTCCCTGTAACTCGATTTAGGTCGAACTTCGTTAATAATGGAATAATCACTGCGAGGGCAAAAAAAATATTTGTCAAAATAGGATATTGTGTTTATGCGAGTTACAGACCTATGAAATCATCTTCTTGTTCTGACGTATTAAGCACATTGTTCTTATCTTCTGAAGCAGATGCCTGGATGAAACAAGAAGATTTGTCTAACTTACCTCCTATCAAACGTACAACGGACGCAAAACATAGGATCACCAAAGATGTCATGATCTGTCTGAAAATTAAAAAAAGGAATATATATCCATCTATAATCTCAACAAAAAGACCGTGTAACAGAAAACAAGTAAACACTTGTAATACTTACTCGTTTTGAGGGAAGCACATGTTCAATGTTGGTGTATCGAGCTAAGTGGTAGGACCTCGGGGAAATATTACTTGGGCGACTTGTAGTCGCGGATTCAGACGTACTGACAGTTGACTTTCAACTTCCCTTTAATGGGGAGGTATGTCATGAATCTGTTCATGAATAGAATGTGTTCAGACCAATGATAACAGTTATCTATAATTCATGTTGTCGAACTGTACTTGATGAACTTTCAATTTCAACTAGTTTTATGTACATCAGACAACCTTTCAATTTGTTCCCTTTAGATGTCGTTTCTATTATTAGTTTATTGCAAAACGTCTTGATATACAAATTGTTCTGGAAACAGTATGCCTGACTGAGACGAGTATGGCAATGTATGTATTACCCACCTATATTTTGAACATTGTTTAAGTGAACAGTTGGAAAAAGTACCGGCAAAGATGTAATGGTATGTTTGAAAAGGGAAAAACACAAATATACCGATATGTATAATCATGACTAACATATTACTCTATTAAAGTTAACTAGTAAACATTTAATCTGCTTACTCATAATGAGAGAGGAGCATTTTCATCGTTGGTGTATCAGTCCAATTGATACTTATCCGTGCCAATCCAAGTCGCGAATTCAGACTTCAGACCAGTATTAGCGGTTTGTCAGTACTATACAAGTACTCGTGGGTTGCCATCGCAATACCAGTATTATTGGGTTGTCAGTACAATATAAGTACTCGTGGGTTGCCATCGCAATACCAGTATTATTGGGTTGTCAGTACAATATCAGTACACGTGGGTTGCAATCGAAATACCAGTGTAAGTGGGTTGTCTGTACCATAACAGTACTCGTGGGTTGCGATCGCAATACCAGTATTAGTGGGTTGTCAGTACCCTATCTGTACTCGTAGGTTGCCATCGCAATACCAGTATTAGTGGGTTGTCAATACTATACGAGTACTCATGGGTTCCCATCGCAATACTTATATTAGTGGGTAGTCAGATCCATCCAATTACTCGTTGGTTGCAATCGCAATACCAGTAAAAGTGGGTTTTCAGTCCCATACCAGTACTCGTAGGTTGCCATCGCAATACCAGTATTAGTGGGTTGCCAGTACCCTACCATTACTCGTGTGTTGCCATCGCAATACCAGTATTAGTGGGTTGTCAGTACTATACGAGTACTCGTAGGTTGCCATCGCAATACCTGTATTAGTGGGTAGTCAGTACGATACCAGTACTCGTGGGTTGCCATCGAAATACCAGGTTTAGTGGGTTGACAGTACCCTATCTGTACTCGTGGGTTGGCTTTGCAATACCAGTATTAGTGGGTGGTCAGTACCCTATCTGTACTCGTTGGTTGCCATAGCAATACCAGTATTAGTGGGTTGTCAGTACCCTATCTGTACTCGTAGGTTGCCATCGCAATACCAGTATTAGTGGGTTGTCAATACTATACGAGTACTCATGGGTTCCCATCGCAATACTTATATTAGTGGGTAGTCAGATCCATCCCATTACTCGTTGGTTGCAATCGCAATACCAGTAAAAGTGGGTTTTCAGTCCCATACCAGTACTCGTAGGTTGCCATCGCAATACCAGTATTAGTGGGTTGCCAGTACCCTAACATTACTCGTGTGTTGCCATCGCAATACCAGTATTAGTGGGTTGTCAGTACTATACGAGTACTCGTAGGTTGCCATCGCAATACCAGTATTAGTGGGTAGTCAGTACGATAACAGTACTCGTGGGTTGCCATCGAAATACCAGGTTTAGTGGGTTGACAGTACCCTATCTGTACTCGTGGGTTGGCTTTGCAATACCAGTATTAGTGGGTGGTCAGTACCCTATCTGTACTCGTAGGTTGCCATAGCAATACCAGTATTAGTGGGTTGTCAGTACTAAACGAGTACTCGTGGGTTGCAATCGAAATACCAGTATTAGTGTGTAGTCAGTACCCTATTTGTACTCGTGGGTTGGCATCGCATTACCAGTATTAGTGGGTTTTCAGGACCATGCCAGTACTCGTGCGTTGCCATCGCAATTCCAGTATTAGTGGGCTGTCAGTCCCATACCAGTGCTCGTAGATTGCCATCGCAATACCAGTATTAGTGGGTAGTCAGTACAATACCAGTATTCGTGGGCTGCCATCGCAATACTTGTATTAGTGGGTTGTCAGTACCCTATCTGTACTCGTGGGTTGGCATCGCAATACCAGTATTAGTGGGTTGTCAGGACCATGCCAGTTGTCGTGGGTTCGCATCGCAATACCAGTATTAGTGGGTTGTCAGTACCTTAATAGTACTCGTGGGTTGCCATCGCAATACCAGTATTAGTGGGTTATCAGTACCCTATCGGTACTCGTGGGTTGCCATCGCAGTACCAGTATAAGGGGGTTCTCAGTACCATGCGATTACTCGTGGGTTAAAATCGCAATACCTGTATTAGTGGGTTGTCAGTACCATATCTGTACTCGTGGGTTGGCATGGCAATACCAGTATAAAGGGGGTTATCAGGACCATGCCCGTACTCGTGGGTTGATATCGCAATACCAGTATTAGTCGGGTGTCACTACCATGCCAGTACTCGTGGGTTGCAATCGCAGTACCAGTATAAGGGGGTTATCAGTACTATACGAGTACTCGTGGGTTGCCATCGCAATACTTGTATTAGTGGGTTGTCAGTACACTATCTGTACTTGTAGGTTGGCAAAGCAATACCAGTATTAGTGGATTGTCAGTTCAATACCAATACTCGTGGGTTGCAATCAAAATACCAGTATAAGTGGCTTGTCAGTTCCCTACCAGTACTTCCCGGGTTGCCATCGCAATATCAGTATTAGTGGGTTGTCAGTACCTTATCTGTACTCGTCGGTTGGCATCGCAATACCAGTATTAGTGGGTTGTCAGTACCTTATCTGTACTCGTCGGTTGGCATCGCAATACCAGTATTAGTGGGTTGTCAGTACCTTATCTGTACTCGTCGGTTGGCATCGCAATACCAGTATTAGTGCGTTGTCATTACAATGCCAATACTCGTGGGTTGCAATCGAAATACCAGTATAAGTGGGTTGTTAGTACAATACCAGTACTCGTGCGCTACCATCGCAATACCAGTATTAGTGGGTTGTCAGTACCCTATTTGAACTCGTAGGTTGCCATCGGAATACCAGTATTAGTGGGTTGTCAGGACTATACGAATACTCGTGGGTTACCATCGCAATACCAGTTTTAGTGTGTAGTCAGTACCCTATTTGTACTCGTGGGTTGGAATCGCAATACCAGTATAAGTGGGTTGTCAGTACAATGCCAAAACTCGTGGGTTGCCATCGCAATACCAGTATTAGTGGGCTGTCAGTCCCATACCAGGGCTCGTAGATTGCCATCGCAATACCAGTATAAGGGGGTTGTCAGTACCATGCGATTACTCGTGAGTTGAAATCGCAATACCTGTATTAGTGGGTTGTAAGTACCCTATCTGTACTCGTGGGTTGGCATGGCAATACCAGTATAAGTGGGTTGTCAGGACCATGCGATTACTCGTGGGTTGCCATCGCAATACCACAATTGATGGGTTATCAGTCCCATACCAGTACTCGTAGGTTGCCTTCGCAATACCAGTATTACTGGATTGTCACTACAATGCCAATACTCTTGGCTTGCAATCGAAATACCAGTATAAGTGGGTTGTCAGCACCTTACCAGTACTCGTGGGTTGCCATCGAAATATCAGTATTAGAGGGTTGTCAGTACCCTATCTGTACTCGTATGTTGCCATCGCAATACCAGTATTATTTGGTTGTCAATACTATACGATTACTCGTGGGTTGCCATCGCAATACCAGTATTAGTGGGTTGTCAGATCTATGCCATTACTCGTGGGTTGCCATCGCAATACCAGTATTAGTGGGTTGTCAGTACCTTACCAGTACTCGTGTGTTGCCATCGCAATACCAGTATTAGTGGGTTGTCAGTACTATACGAGTACTCGTAGGTTGCCATCGCAATACCAGTATTAGTGCGTAGACAGTACCACACCAGTGTTGGTGGGTTGTCAGTCCCATACCAGTACTCGTAGGTTGCCATCGCAATAACAGTATAAGTGGGTTGTCAGTACAATACGAGTACTCGTTGGTTGCCATCGCAATACTTGTATTAGTGGGATGCCAGTACCCTATCTGTACTCGTAGGTTGCCATCGCAATACCAGTATAAGTTGGTTGTCAGTACTATACGAGTACTCGTGGGTTGCCATCGCAGTACCAGTATTAGTCGGTTGTCTGTACCATGCCATTACTTGTGGGTTGCCATCGTAATAGCAGTATTAGTGGGTTGTCAGTCCCATACCAGTACTCGTAGGTTGCCATCGAAATATTGAAGTATTATTGGGTTGTCAGTACCATACTAGTACTCGTGGGTTGCCATCGCAATACCAGTATTAGTGGGTTGTCAGTACCTTATCTGTACTCGTCGGTTGGCATCGCAATACCAGTATTAGTGGGTTGTCAGTACCTTATCTGTACTCGTCGGTTGGCATCGCAATACCAGTATTAGTGCGTTGTCATTACAATGCCAATACTCGTGGGTTGCAATCGAAATACCAGTATAAGTGGGTTGTTAGTACAATACCAGTACTCGTGCGCTACCATCGCAATACCAGTATTAGTGGGTTGTCAGTACCCTATTTGAACTCGTAGGTTGCCATCGGAATACCAGTATTAGTGGGTTGTCAGGACTATACGAATACTCGTGGGTTACCATCGCAATACCAGTTTTAGTGTGTAGTCAGTACCCTATTTGTACTCGTGGGTTGGAATCGCAATAC